GTATGGATCAGGTAAAGAGATAAAACTTGTTATTAGTCCGGGAGTATGGATTTAGACTAAGTTAATTGTCCCTAGTCCGGGAGTATGGATTAGGTACAGTTATTGATCCGGGAGTATGGATCAGATCAGGATTAAGGTATAGTTAATTGTCCCTAGTCCGGGAGTATGGATTGGGCACAGTTATTGATCCGAGAGTATGGATCATATCAGGTTAAGGTATAGTTAATTGTCCTTATTCCGGGAGTATGGATTGGGTACAATTATTGATTTGGGAGTATGGATCAGATCAGGATGTTAGTTTTAGATCCGTGGGTATGGATTAGGGGAAAAGGTTAGTTTTAGATCCGTGAGTATGGATGAGGTGAAAAGGTTAGTTTTAGATCCGTGAGTATGGATCGGGTGAAGATAATAGTTTTAGATCCGTGAGTAGGGATCGGGTAAAGAGGAAAATTTTAGATACGAGAGTTTAGATCGTGTCGTTGTGAGGATCGATGGGGGTGGGATAAGAGTTGCCTTTATATGGTGAAATTGTACAAGTTTGAATGTTCTATATTTATAAATATATGATATAACATTGTGGGATGAAAACCCTATATGCTCACCAGGCTCCCAAGCCTGACCTACTTAGTTTTCTTTGTATCACAGGTATTAATACGAAGACATATTTCACAGAGAGATTTAAAGGAGATATAAATCAATTGTGTAATTAAATGTAAGTTCTGTTTATGCTTATATGTCTGTATCGGAACATGACATCCCGAGGTTTTATTATTAAATGAAAATACATTCTCTTCGACAAATGTTTTGATAAGTTATTATCATATCTTGTTTTGGGAACAAATTCCGCAACCGTTTTCTCTAAAAGATTAGTCTGATTTTATAAAACAAAGCATAAACAAATCGGTCTTTTCTGGCCGAGAAATTAGGGATGTCACACACAAGGTGTTTGACAAAAATCCTCAAAAAAGAGATCATCATTGTTTTTTACCAGCCTCTGATCTTATATGTTTACCTCAGAGAGAGAGAAAGAGAGAGAGAGAGAGAGAGAGAGAGAGAGGGAGAGATGTCCTTTATTATTATTTTAATTGTTAAAATAAATAAATAAATATTAAATTTTAAGAAAAATAAAAGAAAAATGAAAAATAAATACCCCAAGGGTATTATAGTCATTTCAATTTTAGGAGGGACTATTTTCACATACAAACCACTCCAAAAGGACCATGAATCCAAAAAAACTCAAGGTTTGGACTAAAACCCCAAAAATTTGCATACCACAGGGACCATTTTTGCAATTTTGTCTTTTTAATATATATATATATATATATATATATATATATATATATATATATATATATATATATATATATATATATATATATAAAATATTCTAATAGAATATTAGACTATAAATACTTGACAAAATTACAAAAATGGTCCCTGTAGTATGTATTTTTTTGGCGTTTTAGTCCAAACCATGATTTTTTTGGATTGATGGTCCATTTGAGGTAGTTTCATTGCGTTTTTGGTCCCTCGGTAAAGTGAAATGACTGCAATACCCTTGGGATATTTATTTTACATTTTTCTTTCAATTTTTTAAATCTAATAGTTATTTTAATAATTAAAAAAAAAGATGGCCATCTCTCTCTCTCTCTCTCTCTCTCGTATACCCACCTGTGGAGACCATGGATTCCCATTTCTCTATTCTTCAATGTTCAATCATGCTCGATTGATACACACACTTGATTAGGGTTCAATTGCTAGATTCGATACACACACACACTTGATTGGGGTTTAATACACACATTGGAAATTTGAAAAACACACACTCGCATACAGTGAAGAACACGAAAAGGGTGTGAATTTTAAAGTAGCTCATCCATCAACAAGAGCTGAAACAACATGAGATATCTATGAAGCAGCTTCATGTGTGCTTTCCCACCATGGACTATCGAACCCGATTACAAACCCATTGATATCAGATCTATACAGGAATTTTATTGGACGAACAAAAAATTAGATATGATACCTGCATGAGAAAGAGAAAAAGAGTGCAACCCCTTCTTATCCTGGTTCCTAATTTCTCATTGACGATTGAAGAAGGGGTTCAATTTTCCTGTTTCTATGATGTGCCAGACATACAAGCATAGAGATGGGATCTGCGATCATAAACAAATAATAAATAAGAGAAATCAATCTATTGTAAGAGAAGGAGGGGTGCGATTTGTTGGAGTGAAAATGGTGTCTTGTGTAACAAGTTTCTTGCACAAGTTTGTTTCTTAATCTGAATCAACCATCTGAAAATGGTCTCTTCCCCAATCTTCCCCAAAATGGTCTCTTCTGTAACAAGTTTCTTTCACAAGTTTCTTGATTCTTCATGATTTGAACAGAAAGAAATTGAAGGTAATCATTTGGGGTTGAGTGGTTTTAGTAATCGTGTGGACCGATGTATATGTTTTTAATTGCAAGTTATCAGTATGCTTAAAGGTTGAAGGATGAAGAAACTAATGTGGAGAGAGAGAGAGAGAGAGAGAGAGATGGGCCTTTTTTAATTATTAAAATAACTATTACATTTAAAAAATTGAAAGAAAAATGTAAAATAAATGTCCCAAGAGTATTACAGTCATTTCACTGTTAGAATATTCAAATATTCTATTAAAATATAAATATTCAAACAATTCTAATAGAATATTAAAATATTCTAACAATTCTAAGAGATAATAAAATATTTTAACACATCTAATAATTGTAGTAGAATATTTTTGATCTTAAATTAAAATGTAAGTGGTATGATTCGAACACGGTCCGGTTAGCAATAAAAAAGGCACTTTAACCAACTAAACTGTACAAGTCTGATGAATTTATTTGAAAACATTAGTATATAATGATATATTAACTAGTTAATTTGGCTTAAATCATGCCCAATTTTTTCCTGGACCATGTGCAGTCGTACACCCTTCACTCTCTCAGGGCCGGTCTTGTTTATATGTTTATATATAACAGATTTGTGGATCAGTTGCTAGCTTAGAGAAACCTAAAGATTAAGTAAAGACCAAGCAAGCCAAAAAGAAAAAAGAAAGGTGTGATAGTGTACAATGTCCATTAATTAGTTTATTGGTTTCAAGGTAAACAAGCTTCAATCTATTTTAGTCATTTTTCATGGATTAGATTATGTTTTCAAGGTAAACAGACTTATATTAGGGTTCATTAAAATGTTGATCGGTTGGTCAATGTTTGTCATTATATAACTTTATTGATTTGGATATGGGAGACGTTTTGCAAAATACTTGTTGAGTTTGTTGGATTGCATAAAGAGGTCATACTATAAGGCAGCATAGGGTGGTCCGGATTAATTGTGAGTCACATTTGTCATCGTTCATACATATGAGGTATTTTCGATATAATTTAACTAACTAAAGGTTATAATACCAAAGGACTTCTAGCCTAGCAGTATCCGGAGTTGCCCTTCTTCCTTGAGGATGAGGGTTCAAGTCTCATCAGATATGAATCGACTTTCTTGAGAGTAAGACCAAGGATGATATTCAATGGGTGATAGATAATTATCCCGATATGTTTGTTGAATGTTGATGGTGATACATTTTTTGATCAGTCGAGGAGACAATCTATAAATTTATTACTCTTTATTATATTGTTATAAGTCACTTTATGATGTTAGTTTTTTGGCATCCACCTAGGATGAATAAGGAATATGAAATAAATAAATAAGAAAAGGTGTCATGTATGAGAATGCATATAAAAAGGTTGTGATTTATGAAGATGCCAAAAGAAAACCCTAAAATAATTAATAATTTTATTATATTGGCATACAAGGTGGATTGAATGAGAAAGAAGAGAGTAAAGAGGATCACGAGGGGGACGTAGAAAAATAAGTAAAGAAGGTATTTTGTTTAAGAAATATTAATTTTTTTAGCAATCAATCATTTTACTTTATTTTTATTTAGGACGGATCCGTTGACGATAAGGGCCTACATACAGGACACCAAAAATTGTGAATAAAACTAAATCATGATAGACGCCTAGTAGGCAGTAGCCTATTTAAAATCATTGTATACGAGTATCCTATATCCTTCACGCTTTATGATCAATGCATTGTGGTCTGAAAAAATATTTGCTCCAAACAATAAAAGGGATGCAACAACCCTTTCTTTTGTATATAGATTTAAATATATGGGGTAACTTTGGGTCCTCGGTTTTTGGATGATCCATAACACTCTTGTTTCACGTGGTTGGCTAGAAACTCGTGTATATAATCTTATAAGTATTACTGGAAAATATAATAAAATGCATCGATGTTTGTTAAAATGTTCCCCTTTGTCAACAACATATAACTATGTGGAGTCTTTTACTACTAAATACGCAACTCCCCGGCTAAAGGTGGGCAGTTATTCCCATCCATTTTATGGATTAGTTTGTATGTTGTAAATAGGTCCAAGCCCTCATATGTAGATTTGTAGGTCTATATTCATATTCATAAAAGCTATTATAATATTCATATCATTGTGTAGCCATTATTTCCCTTAAACAGTAACAATAGTCGCCATTGTGTGTATTGTTTCCTTCAACGATAACAACAATCATTGGTTGTATGGAGCTGACTACATGGACTTTAATAGTTTACAAGAGTTCGATTTTAGAAGTCATAAATGGGAAAATCTTGAAAAAGTTACTAGCTTCTATAGCTAACAATTAGTTCTTAAAGTTATGCATTATTGGACATGGACAAAAATTGGAGAGGAGTGCACCCATGTGAATTTGAATATTCAATTTGCCGAAGGCATGCCTCAGCAAGTTAACGAAAAAGATTGTGGGATTTTTTTTTTCCAAATTGGCATAAGATATCCATTTTTCAGCTGGTTTTATTTGTTTTTAACATCATTATTCTTTTTTTTTTTGGATCTCTACTACCATAACTCTTCCATAATTCACCTGTCAACTTTCTGGGCAACCACCATCACCATGCACGTGTCGGTGGCCCAAATTTCCCAGTTCTTAGTTATGATTAACATTTAACAAATAACAACGATTAAATAGTCTGCTTTCTGACACCACTTTGTTTTTGTTTATTACAAGTGTAGCCAATGCAAGTGGAAACCATAAAAATGACAAACTTTCTGCCCATTACGTAATCAATGATTCATCTATATCATAAATCTTAGTAGACTACTCACTCTTTACAAAATAAACATGTTTGAATGCAAATTGACTTACTCAAGACAGAACGAAAAGAATAAACAAACAAGATAGTGGTGAAGGCTAGTGGGCCTCCCTCTCCACACCCCACACCCCTCCAATCATTGATAAAAACACATTTGCTAATCCATCGCCATCAATCCACATAATAAATCTCCCAAAACAACCATAACTAACTGTCAACAGCTTTTGCTTCTTTCTTTGGAACAAACTTTCTTTCCCAAAAGTCAAAATTCCAAAATATATAACATGCCAAAAAAAGGATTACCTTTACAAAATTGGGATCCACCCTAATTACATACATTACCTTCCATTCCAAACGAAACCTGCTTTCTTTAACTTTAACCTAAACAAGAACAACATAAACCAGCGGCACACTGTCAATATTTTCAACATTTACCCTAAATTCAAAATATAATCATCATCCTTATCTAATTTTATTGTTTAAATTATTTTTTAAAGTTTAGAAATTATTTATAATGGTAATAAAAAGCATTACAATTGAAAAAAGTGGACTTGATGCAAAAAAACATAAAACGACAGGGACCAAATTTGTAATTTAAGAATAGAGAACAAGACCTTTTCTTGTCTTGGTGGGTTTAATGACTGGTGGAGTAGACCTTCTATCTGATTGGAGGACCGTTTTCATGGGCTTGGGCTTCTTTGTGGTGGTGGATATGAAGCCTGATGGAAGAAGAGCTTCTACAGCTTCCCTTTGGTGTTTCCTTTTAGAAACAGCCTCAACACTAACACCCTTTTTTTCTACTTCACTACACCCTCCTCTACTTTCTTCTTTCCTTTTTTTCTCCACGCCCATATTTCCACCTTTCTCACGTGTCACTCCATCTTCATCATTGCGTTTCTTTTCTGCTGATGATGATGATGAATCATATTGTTTTTTTGCTTTTTTCTTTTCTTTATCTACACCCAAACCCAAATTACCATCATTACTAAACCTTTTCCTCTGTTCATCATGTCTGGTATCCTTCTTTCCGTTTTTACTAACCTGTCTCGAAACATCATGTTTACTATCGGGAACATAATTACTACTACTCTTTAGTGAGTTAAACACAGAAACATACGGTTTTTTAACTGATAAAACCAAATTTCTTTCATTAGCATCGTTAACAAGTGCACCCCAGTTTTTATTTGTTTGTAAAGTTCTCACGTTTCCCAAAATCCATAACGAGTGTTTTGCCCTAGTCAAAGCTACATTCATTCGTCTGACATCAGCAACAAACCCGATGCTTTTTGAGTTTGTTTCCTTTGTTCCGGAAGGTGGGCCCGCTGCCCTAACTGTTGACACTACAAGAATGTCCACCTCACGCCCTTGAAAACCATCAACAGTGTTGAGCTCCATTTCTTCCATTATTTCAGACCCAAAAGCATTCAAAAAACGTGTGCGTAAAAGTGAAAGCTGAGATCTATAAGGTGTTATGATCCCGATCCTTCCTCCAACAAACTCCAATGGATAACTGTCAAAACCAACAAAAACTTTATTACTGATGAAGAGCAAAATTTACCCAAAGAAAAATATACCTTCTCCTGAAAAACCTTAAAAGTTCAACTGCAGCATCAGCTTCACACTCATTGTAAAGAGACCCAGAGTTTTTACCATGAAGCTCTTGTCCATCTACAACATCAAAGAATAAATAAGGCCCAAGGCCTTGTGTTTTGTGAAATGGTTTTTCTTTGCTGGACATTTCATCTCCATTCAGTAAGTTGCCATCGTAAAAATGCAAAGAAGGAAACCGACATATCTCCGGATGCATCCTATACTGTAACAAGTAAAAACTAATAATTAGTAAATTCTGAAATAAACTTTAAAAAAAAAAAAAAAAACATATAGAGAAGCAAAGTCTACCTGCTTTGTAAGCATAGTAACAGGGTGTCCAGCTTTTTGTAAGCGTTCAAACATACTACATTGATACCGATATTTACTTGCAACATCAGAGAGAACAGTTGCAGGTAGTTGCTTTGGATCACCCACCATAATACTCTTGCTACCCTTTGATTTCAACAGCTGAAGTGGAATCAAAGTAGCAGGTTCCAAAGCCTGACAAGAAAAATATAATCTTGAGTCAAGTCAAACCAGGTCAAACAAAATAAAAAAGGAAAGAAAATCAAAATAGGAACGTACTTGAGCTGCTTCATCGATTACAACAGCATCAAATAATGAAGATTCAGATGAAGTGCTGAACTTATGAGTTGACATGGATTCAGAGCAAACCGAATAAAGATCTCCACCACATCCACTCAATGTTGTTATCACAATTTCAGCTTCTTTTAGTATCGATTTACGCAATTTAAGTTTTAAAGCTTTTGTTTTTTCGTAAGATTTCTTCTCACGTGACTGAGCAGCAGCGAGATCGATGTAGACTGATTTCTTTTCACTGTATAGTGATCTTAACTTCACCCCAATTTCCACATCAGACATTTCCTTCACGTCCACATCATCATCTCCTTCAAGAACTTGTTTTGAGTCGGGGTTTCCATTGCTTAAGTTAGCCCGTTTGGCTTCAAGAAACTTAATCCGATCAACCAACTTTTCTAGCTTCAAACGAAGAGCATTAGAAGAATGAGAATCCGCATCATCACTTTTCACATCACCTCCAGCATTACTCTCCTCGGTCAAACGTTGGTCAACGAGGGTGTCGATGAAGAAAGGAAGAGAATTTTGATGAACTGTTTTTGAGTTTCCAACCCTAACAAGATACGGCTTGTACATTGTTCCATCACTTGCGTATAATCCATGACATGAAATTCTTGACACTAGTTCATCAACAGCAGCATTTGATTGTGCACAAATCAGAACTCTACCTCCTCCACCATTAGTAGGTCTGGAATTTTTATCCTCTACATCCTTCAGTTGTTTGGCCAAGGCTGCATCCTGCCAGGCACGTGCAATCGCAACAGATTGACTCATTTGCCCTTTAGGTCTTGAAACATTTACACCACTTTCAGTTCTTGTTCCAGTGTTGTTGACTTTGGTCAACGAAAGCAAAGCACTGACAATGGCTACAATTGTACGTGTTTTTCCAGTACCTGGAGGACCTTGTATAAGAGATAGATCATGAACCTCATCACTTTTCAACCCCATAGATCTTGTGACACTGCGTATGGCTTGAAGTTGAGAGTCGTTAAATGATGATTCTAGAACTTTCTGTAAAGATGGGGAGAGCTTGCTCAAATTTGTTCTTGATTTAACGACATTAGGCTGGTTGTTAGGGTTTAAGATGGTGGAAATGAGAGGAATACTGTGTATTGATGAAAGTGCTTGAAATTCTCTAAGTTGTGAAGTGATACTCATGATGCGATGAATGTACCACTTGCTTCTTTCCATTAAGAGCTTTTTAGCACGATTTAGACGTGAAGATCCGGTTTGAAGATAGAATTTGATCATTAAAATGCTGGATCTTCTTTTATAATCTTTCTCGCATCTTTCCACCTTTCCAACCATGTGGACATCATTAGAGGATTTTTGAAAAGGATGTCTGGTAAACAATACAAGGTCGTTTTCGACACAGCTTCTAGAACCTTCTAGATCTTTGTCATCATGGACACAACGAACAACATGAAAGTCATCAACTCTTTCAACAGACATCACGGAGAGACTTCCACATGACATCTCATCTGAAGAAGTCAACTCCATGAACGAACTGTGTAGCTGTGCTTTTAACTCTTCCAACACCAAAGGACGGAAAACTGCCACGTAATCATCTGGAGATTGGAAAGAAACAGGAACCTCTTTTAGTTTCCCTGTTTGATTCTTTTCTACAGTTGACGAAACTAACCCTACTGTAGCAAAATAATCCATCTCTAAAATAGGTCTGAACCAATCGTCTAGTCTTAGAGGTTTAAACCTCTGTTGTCCAACACGCATTCTGTTTTGGGAAGCTCGGTTTTCAAATGGCATGTTTAGTTGGATGACCTGGCGTTTTGGGCCACTTAATTTTGCAAGGTGTGATTGATGATGCCTTGCGGATTTTAATGCAAATTCCCATGGATCATCTTTAGCATCAAATACCAACTCCTTGATTACTCTATTGTCACTTTTTGGTGGAATCTTTTTGATACCTTGGTTAGCCCTAGTTTCAACAGATACATTCTTCAAACTTGATGCACGCTGATATGGAACTGAATTTTCCATTTTAGAAGTCAGATTTTCTGAAGATGATTTTGTCAAACAAGGTTTTTTCTGCACATCGGATGATTTTCCTTTTCCTTTTCCTTTACTTGTGCCTTGTACAGACTTCTCTATAGAAATAGAAGATGATCTTACTCTGTCCATATCCACATTATTCTCTGCCTCCACCTGTGTTGTTGAAGTTGGAACCTTAAAAGAAATGTTCTTAGCTGCATTAAGTTGTGAAGCTTTTTCAGCAGTTTTTGAGCCCATAGCTTCTTCTACATCTAATGATGAATGAATTGAAACACTCACAGTGTCCATGGGATCTTTTACATCGATCTCATCATCTGAAAGAATTATCACACTTTCTCTCTCTGTTTTGGCACTAAAATCTGAATCCAAAATCTCCAGATCTAAAGCTTCCACTTTTTCAGAGGATGAATTCCTTTTGTTCAATAATGTGGAATTGAAGTTTGTTTCCCCATACGCATTCTTCAATGAAACGGAAAGGCATGATATCTGATTGGTTAATTCATCAACCGGAATGTCTTCTGTAAGCAAAAAAGTAAAACATGAACTTGAATTTGCTAAGGCAAAAACTAATAGCAAAACATATTAATTAGAAAAGAATATATCAATGGAAACACACCAGATTGAATAAGTTTCTCAATGGCCATTATATCAGATGTTTTATCATTACATGACTCCTTAAGTAGATCAAGCAAAGAAAGCACTGTTTGTTTCCAATACCGAATTACAACAGCAAGTGTAGACTTTCCCCAATACATCAAATCATGAAGCCATTTATATCCAACTGATTTTGATACCAAAATGTCTGGATCTCCAGGTATTCTGTTCATAGATTGCTGGAGCCTTTGGAGAATGACAGGTAAGCATTCAAGTATTCTGACACATGTCATCTGAAACAACAGTAAAAAAAAATGTTGAACTCCATTGGTCATGCACTCATGCTATGAATACAAATGAAATTACTGAAGGAATTCAGAAAGATAACTTAATCATACCTGGGAGATCTTGTAGTCAATGAATGTCTTCCCTTCAGACAAACATATGCAAAAAGATGGCCAAGCAACTTCTGATAATAAGCAACCAAACTTTTTCCAATGTTCAGAATTGAACTTTGACAAGTTTCCATCAATATTAGCATCCATGGATTCAAATGTAGGCTGCTGTAAAAATCCCCCTTGAGATGAAAACTTCAAATTACTATTACCCTCACTTTTGCCAGATTGTACCCCTTCTGTAAGTATCTTGCATAGTACAAAAAAGAAATGATGCAGACTTTGAAATCTTTGTAGCACCGAATCCAACAGAAGCTGAAAAGAACACCAAAACAAAAGACAATTCACAAATTTGAGTGACATGTTCAAATAATTAAATGACTAATAGAAAGAACAATACCAATTCGCGAGCATGTCTGAGCCCTAGAAATACAGCTGATATTGAAGCTGAACATGAACACAAAAACTGCAAACAGGAAAGAAGGCCACGTGTGTTTGAAACTTGTTCAAGAATTCGCCTACCAACTTGCCTTGCATTCTGCAAAAAAACAAAAGATAGACTTCTCAAAACCAACTCATATAATAATATTACATAATTAATGATTTTGAAAAGAAATATTTAGTATTCAGTATTTACATCATCAGGATCAACAAGCAAAAGGATTAAGCTTTCAGCCATCCTTGGTTCCCAACTCCATTGCTTTTGAAGCTCACCTTGCTCCATTCTTGTAATAAAATAGGATGTAAACCTGATTAACATTATCCAACATTTCATTATAATACAGTATTTAAACAAAGATTTAGGGAATGCAAAAAAAAAAGGTAACCTTCTGAATGTTCTGATTAATGGGATGCACATTGTTGAGACTTTGACTGAATTCTTTGACTCTTTTCCATCCCCACCATCATCAGAACCAGATGGTGCTTTCCACCCAAATAGACATGATACTTCTGGTGCACGTGTAGTTAGCCAATTTCCAACTGGAAGTGCCATGTCAGCGATAGTTTCAGGTTCAACCATAGAAAAACGAGATAACCCCCATAAAACTGCTTTAGAAAATGATATTGGTAGAATCACAGGATCAATTTCGACTAAAACATCAAACCATAGCATTGGAATGCACATCCATGCCCCATATTCTGATGATGTGGTTTGACTCTGTTGACTAAATCCATTCCAACAACTGGTGTCCTTTTCTTCAATATCATCTGCAAATAACCCTTCATTCTCATCTTCATCTTTGAAGTCAATGATATTCCTATCAACAGTTTTGTGTATTTGACAGTGTAGAATTGAAGACACTAATGCAGATGCATCAGAGACTATGATAGTTTGGATCAAATCCAAAGCAGGTTGCCTTAGAGAACTGTAGAGTGATGAATCCTTGAGAGATGCCAATAGAGAAGGACCCCTGTCCCATAAACATTATCAAATACAAAGTAGTAATGATTTTAGTTTTACAATTACTGTGTGAAGAAATAAGACAGAGAATTTCATACCACATGTGTGCACATTCAAAAGGTGGACAAGAAGGATTCATCTTGTAGCCTCGGTGGATGATGAGAAGAGCTATCTGTGAACAAAATTTTGGAATCAAAGATCACACATGAGATGAGAGTTATCAGTTATAGAGTGTTCAAATAAGACACCTGGCAGGCTTTTTTTCTCATTAGATTGCTGAAGTTGCTACTAACAGTGACTTGATGTAGAAGAAAGTAGAGAAAATGCCTGCGTTGTTTCTTGTGTTCTTCATCTTGCAAAGCTTCAAGAGACTGCATAAACAGGCTATAAGATCATAAAGTATCATCATATAATTTTCAAAGTAAATAATGTACAAAAACAGAAAAGCATGCCTGAAGAAAAGGTGGGAAAAGATCAAATATTTCCTTGTGGCTCTTTTCATCTTTAGTATGAAAACACTGACCAAGTAGTGTGTCACGCATTACACTTGGTGACAATGTTGCCCTTAACCAAAGTTTACATCCTTGAAACACAAAAACACTACTTTAGAAGACATTAGCTAGTAAATGAGCATGCAAATAGGCAATAAAAAAACAAGGAAAACATACCAAGCATATCGAAGAGTAGTCTAAGGCAATTGATTGCATAAGAAAATTCAAGGGAATCATCACAGATATGGTTAAGTACAATATTCAGAAAGCTTGGATGACGCTCCAAAATCCCTTCTTCAAATGCATGAGGCTCTAAAAACCCAAGCCTTCATAACAAGCAAATGAGTTAAGACTTAAGACATAGTCATAGAAATACATTCGCATCAAGAATGTTATTAACAAAAGGAGAAGGGGATAGTTTCAAAAATAGGTAAAAACCCCTCCCTACAGTGCCTTGATTCCAAGCCATACAGTTATTCGATCCAGCTGCATCCTTGGCCTTGAGCTCTCAGAGTTAACAGGAATGGCTTCTGTTTCTAGAAATGACATGCATTTCTTGAGCAAAGGCTGCAGAGGTTCCAAATCTGCTGCATTCCTGTGAGAGAATATAAGATTTAAACAAACTTTGTGAATCTAACAAGAAGCAAAAAAGAAATGATACCTCAATTTGCCCATGTATCCAGCTAAACGAAAACCTATAGAGCGACACCTCCTAGTTTTGAGGAAAAGTAAGGCATAAACTCCCTACATAAATCATTGAAAAACAACTGTTATGAGTCAAAAAGGGTAAGAAACTGCATATTGTTGAAGGTCTACCGGGTATTGTTGATGGCCAGCCAAAGTAAGTTCATGAGAATCATCAACTGCTTCAATGAATGTTTGAAACTCATTGACCAAAGATTGATCATCCAACAAGACAGGAAACATCAACACCTGTAACACAGTAATAAATATTAATATTAGTATAAACTGCTGCTGATATTTGATACACACATTTGATTAGGTTACCTCATACATGACAGTGATAACTTTTGCACTGTCTTTCACAGCATCATACTTCCCGCTTCCTATTCTTGTGTTCATCTCTTTCAATTGATTAGTCACCCTTTCTTCATCAAGCCTGCATAGAACATCAAGAAGAGGCCCAATTGAGCTCAACTCATACTCCATGGCATATGTTTCCTTTGCTTGATGATGCTGACAGATGCATTGCATGCAATCTTGTAATTCTTCAGAAATTCTTTTCCACAGAAGCTTGAGAGGAGAATCCTGCCGATCATCTTTAAAGTAATTGTAGAATGTTTCTAGAAGAGGCCCCATTATATCCCAGTTGCCACACCAAATATGATTGTCTTTAGAAAGATATATCAAGAAGTTGAATGCATCCGAGAACCTGAATATAGAGCAACAAAAAGATATTGCATTCTTCATAAGTAAATCTGTAGATAGTAAGTACTTAATTTGCGTTCAAAAGATGGATTTAAGCAATTAAAAGGAACATTAAAGCAGCAGCATATAAACAATTTCATTAGCTGTTCTTCCATTAAGAAAAACATTGATCATTTTTACAAACTACGTATAGAAATGAGGATATGATGGAGATGTACAGAGGAGTAAGGTAATGTTATTGCAATGATGATGCAAAAGCTGGTAAATGTCAAAACTCAAAAGCCAGCCCCAAACAGTTTATTTATCATGAACATAGGCGTATTCGTATTGATCATTAACAACTAATCAGCCTGTCAAGCATATTGGAATGGCAATTGCTTGCCTGCTATAGAGTGCTCAAGAACACAAAAACAGAATAGTCAACAAATTTGATAGATTGGAGACTATATGTGAGTATTAAACTCGCAATAGAATAAAATTATTGGCGGTAATTTATTTTAGAAGAAAGCACCATATTTCTTTGAGATGTTGGATGTGACGTTGTTTTGAGTGATCGAATACGTTTTCTTCATCGTCTTCTTCTTCAATGGTCCTCCATCGGTCCAAAAGCTCTCTTCTCGTGACAGTTTTCTTCGTCATGTTTCAAGTGTAATAATTAAGAGTACTAATCTGCAAGCATTTAACCGTAGTTCAATGTATTATGTATGAGAAATGAAACGAAACTAGCGAGCCCTGTGGTCTGTGGAACCCAAGGGGAAGAGGCCAAAACCCTGGAAGAGCAGAAGTGGCCAAGAAGGCAAATACGAAGTCGGAGGTTGTTTATATATCTTCGTTTTCCGCTCAACATTCCCTAAACAAGCGTAGACCGGTTTACTGCTTTGGAGTGTCGAACCAATCAATCTTTTTCCCGGTCGAACCGCGGGTTCAATGAGGAGGTATTGACTTTTTCTTAATTTTTTTTACATTTTTTTTTTGTTGTTTAGTATTTAACCCATACAGTGGGCCTGAGGGCCCGGTTTGTATATATTTTTTATTATTATCAAGGAAGACGGAGTCACAAGCGGTTCCGGTAGGATGTGGCGGTATAGGTTATATATCATGTGTCATTAGGTATTTAGAATATGACGTAAAGTTTGTAAGATGTAATATAAAGTGTGTAACCCTCAATAGTATAAGGGGTTATATTGTAAATATGTTTGTCGTCTTGCAGTCATTCGATTGCAATTCAATTATGTAACTGGTTCTGTTGAGCCTATAAATAGGGCATTTGACTGTATGGAATAAACAATATATGTTTGAGTGTTTTAAGACTTGAGTTTGATCTCAAAGTTTTTCCTCTGTTAATATAGTTGTTCTATTTTGAATAGCAGACATAGAATGACGCACGCAATGATGCATGAAGTCATTATTATTGAAAACACATGTCCTCTCGTTGTGGAATGATGTATTTTATAATTTGTATATTATCTTATTTGTTGGTATTCATCGTTATCGATAGAACACATGTCATGAATCGCTAGGTTACATATCATGTGTCATTAGGTATCTAGAATATGACGTAAAGTTTGTAAGATGTAATATAAAGTGTGTAACCCTTAATAGTCTAGGGGCCATATTGTAAATATGTTTGTCGTCTAGCAATCATACGATTGGATTGCAATTCAATTATGTAATCGGCTTTCTTGAGCCTATAAATAGGCATTTGCCCGTATGGAATAAACAATATATGTTTGAGTGTTTTAAGACTTGAGTTAAAATAGTTGTTCTATTTTTGAATAGCGGAGCGTCTATCCAAATTATCCAAAGTCATTCATATAATCATCCATCTAATCATCATCAAGATTATTCAGACCCATCATTTAGGTATAATCATCCACTATTATCGTTATAATCGTCAATTATATTATGTCGAAAATTTTGGTGGTACCGTTGATACCGTCGGGATATGATATCTCGCATTGGCGCCTTTAGCAGGTTAGATTGTTTATTGCATATCAATGTTCACTAAGGATTGGTCGCTTGTGAACAGTTAGAAGTATGGTAATGGATTGACCATATTGATATAATTCTGAAAAGATAGGAATCTATTTAGAATGGATAGTCATATGGAAATTATGGAAATGTTTCCATAATAGGAGTTGGATGTTGAGAATCTATATGTAGGATTAGAAACTTTTATGTAAGAATGATGTTTCACTTCACATGTTTTACTTCCCGAATAACTAGGTTATTCAAACATCCACAATCAATCATACTTTGGAAGTAAGTAATGAGGTAAGAGTGTCATGAATTCGATTGTAGATTGTCTAAGTGTTTAGACATAGCACAAGTTTGCTGCAGTGTTCATGAGTACTCTTGAAATAAGATTTGAGTATTGGATTAAACTCACGCTCATCTGAATCACTTCATGGATTTTATCATGAGTGATTGTAAGACAATAATATCTTATATTCTTGAAATTGAGACATATAGTTGTTGTTTACAAGTCAGTTGCGCATTGATAATATGTAAACGCATCAATAACTTGATGTTATAAAATGTATTGTTGTGTGTGATTCGATAAGTAAACAGTACAAGCATATGAGTCAAAGTTTACCCGTTCCTTTTACCTTTAATGGGATAAAAGCGATATATTTGGGCCTCTCGATGATTTAGTGATGACACCCCTAAGTGCTTGGCCAAGCCTGGACTGATTTGATTTTTTCAATTAGTCGGTCGTCATAAATCGAAAATAGGGAAGCATAACTTGGATAGAGAAAATGATTATTGTCCATAGGATATCTTATAGAATGGAGGAATATTAATCTCTTATCTAAAGAACGCGTTACTGATAAGATCAGAGCTCGACAGTGGCTTTTGAAAGCTAGGATTGCTAATCAGATTCTGAAGTCGTACTTGCAATAATAGTTATTAGACTTATCCAAGTGGGAGACTGTTGGATTAGGTGTCTAAGCTCATAACTATTTTTGGTATGTACTTGATTTGATTATGAGCATGGTCCTTTTGGGTTGCCTTCACTCATGCAACTTAATAAGATGACAAGTTGAGAGTGAGTAGGATTTATTATATGAATAATAAATTGGTACTCAAAATGGTTTTATTAATATATTATAAGATCAATATATTACTTGGAAATTATATTATTTAATTAGTATTGATCAAAAATTAATTTGGAATTAATTTAGTGTTCAAAAGAGATTGATTAAATGAATAGGGACTAATATTTCAAATCACTGATAGTTGCAATTGGGTTGATGGATCACATTGGAATAAGATTGGATGAATTATATGGGAAGCCTATAAATATGTCTTCCAATGAGTATTCTAGAAGGAGTACATGGGCTGCTTAAAGCTTAAGCAGTGATATTAGGGTTTCAACCTAAAACCCTAGCAGCCATAAGTATAAAACTATAAATAGACCCCAAGAATAAGGATTTTTGAACCTATGCTTTATGAAACCCTAAGGTGGCCGATTTCATCACCTCTCCAAGTCATCCTTGTTGTGTAGACTGTTTGTGACTCCATTAAAGGTGCAACAATTGGGGCACTAAGCTTTCAAGGGTCAAGGATTGAACTTGTTATTGCTACATAACAAGCAAGGTAACTTCATAACCCTAATTTCATTGTGAATTTGATTATTATATGCTAGATTTAGGGTTATTGCTTTGGTGTTCTTATTTTCATTTTCAATAGAGAAAACCTTAGATACAAAGCAATTAGGATTGCATGTACACCATAGGATTGTTGTATTGCTTATAACCCATCAGTTGAAGCGGTTGCAAGGCCTTAAACCGTGGTTTAGCTTATTCATGTGTTAGGTGAGTCGCTTCACTATACCCATGGGTCGAAGGCACTAATGTCAGCCTACTAGAATGTGTTATGTAGGATGCTAGTTGTCTTTGTGACACTAGCATTGTATATTGGGTTGGGTCCATTATCATGTATGTAGGGTTGGCCCATTGTATGTTAGGCTAGGCCCATTATATGTCGGGCTAGGCCTATTGTATGTTGGGCAAGGCCCATTGACTATGAAGGGATAGGCCCATTATGTAACGACCCAAAATTCAAGACCAAAAATTTCTTTTAATAAAACATTACTTAAAGCAAAATCATCAATCCGAAACATAAACAGAGTATTAATTTCCAAAACACATGTTTGTTATCAGAGTAAAACATTCCCAGGCTGTCTAATCAATGGTGTGTGTCATGCGATCACCCCGAGCTCTTCCCTCCGCTACCGGAAGTACCTGAAACCAAAACTGAAAACCGTAAGCACAAAGCTTAGGGAGTTCCCCACCATACCACATACCATGCATAATCACGTACTGCACATACTGGGCCTCGCCCCCTGCCTCGGGCCTCGCCCGCTATAACGGCCCCACTGGTCCAGGCCCCGCCTGGCTTCGATCCCCGCTCGGATACAGATCTGTTTCACTTAGGCCTCGCCTATCACAGGGCCCCGCTTGCCAACAAATAATAACACATAAACATATCACAACACATAAGCTAAACTCATACGACTGACCCTGTCCTAAGGCCTCACCTATCATGGGCCTCGCCCTTGTCCTGCTACTGATGAGTCATAGAACCCCGTCCACGCTCCTACTGGTAGTGAGATATGGGCCCAGCCCACTCTCACTTCTTCCCTAACTTGGGCCTCGCCCTTGTTTTGCTACTAATGAGATGTGGAACACCATCCACACTCTGCTATTGGTGAGATATGGGACCTCGCCCACACTCACCTCCCTACCAGGTACATACATGTATCGCACAGACAACAAGTATAAACTATCATATAAACAAATCCTTGGGCACCCGCCCGCTATTAATGGACCTCGTCCTGAATATCATACTAGCATACTATGCCTAGGGCTAACCCCCAGGCCTTCTACTCATAACTACATGGGTCGGCATTGTGGCCTTAGACCCATTCACATAATGGGAAACTCACCTACACTGGCTGAACTTGCTGATGATCTCACTAGCTGCTGCCCGGCAACTCTCTGAACTCCTGCTCCCCTTGCTCCCCGAACTACCAATATCAATGCAACACTGAGTCTAACTGACCCCCGAGAGACAACCAAGTCAACTCTGGTCAAAGTCAAAGTCCTGGTCAAGGTCAACATCCCAGATCAACCCTACTCGCCGAGTCAACCTGCGGACTCGCTGAGTTCATATATTCAAAGTCCTTCCTTCGCATCTCGACTCGCCGAGTCAGTCCATGACTCGCCGAGTCTACCGATTTCTGAGTCCTGACCTGTCCAACTCACCGAGTCTCCACTCGACTCACTGATTCGAGTCTCAATTCGAAGGGTTTGGGGTTTCGCGACCTGAATCGTTGAGTCCAAGAGCAGACTCGCCGAGTACAAGGCAATCTTCATCTGACTTGACGAGTTGTTCATCTCACTCGTCGAGTTGCTACCAATCTTCATGCTACTCACTGAGTCCACTCAAAGGACTCGCCGAGTCCATTCAGATCTCCTTACATGCAGAGGACTTTTGAGTCATGCATGGACTCCAAACTGTAGATCTACCCTTCCCAAGCCTATTCCTCACGTAAAGTTCCAAACTTTACGTGTAAAGAAGGAGATCTAGGCAAAATACACCACAAACTAGGGCTTAAGGCAAAGAGGCTCCATAATCAACTCAAGGGCATATACTTTATGCTTCTCAAGACTATAATATGGTTAGATCCGAAGTAGCAACTTCATATCTGTCTTCTAACTCAAAAGGGGTAGCTAATCATGGCTAGAAAACCCCCAAAACTCACAACCATAATAGATCTAAAGGAGAGAAACAACTTAATACCTTCAATAACTCAGAAA